ATATATATATATTTTTTTTTAATTTCAGGGGCCCAAAGACATGAAGTGGCCTTAATGAATGGGCTAACCGTTAACTTACACCTCCAGATGGTACGTCTTTATAATGTATATGTAATGTTGTGTTGGAAATATTTTTTTCCTTTCTTTGTGAGTGTAAGCAAAATATTTTCTGAGGACCTCACAAAAGCTTTTTTTAAGCTTTGGGAGTTGTATCTTGAATGATGCTTTGGTTTGTGCAAGATCTGGCTCCACAATATTAAGCAGAAAATCTGGACAGAAAAAATATTTTCAAGGACTCTAGGGGAAGTCTGAGCTGTTCTCTCATGTGCTGCGTGTCAGTCCTCAGAGAGGAGATATTATTTAAGAAACATTTCCAAATAACCTCTCAATTTTGTATTTCACATCAAATTTCAAAGTGGAAGAAATGAGATCGACTGTGGGCAAGGCAAAGCTGTAATTTCAGTCAAATTTAAAATACAGCTGCATACAAAAGATGACATTTTGAGTTATGTTGTTTTACATACACCTCTAAAACTTGGTAAAACATCTGATTTTGATTTTTATGACACAGTGGCCATCAGTGTGCTTTCCCAAATGGTCTCTCGGCTGTTATATACAGCCTGTCTCAGGTTCTGTAGTGTTTCCAAAGACTTGGTTCAACTGAATAAACCCATGAAGCTTCATTTTGTGTGGTTCATCCAAAAAGATTTATGACTCAGATCCACTCCTCTGTGACATGTCTCTGACCTTTGTTAAATTAGGAAACCTGAAGGAGGGAAGGCTGGGGCTAAGTACAAGTCCAATTTACCCGGCTGCTCTGAATTACGTGCAACGCAGTCAGACTCATGCCAAAGGTGGGTACACAGCCCATACTGAGCTCTGTGTAACCCTGGCTAGCATGAACAGGAAGGTTTGTAAGTCTTCCAGTTCTCCCAGTATGGGGGCAAGCCCAACTTGCCTCCAGACAAGGAGTTGAGAAGGAAAGACCATTCATCTACAGGTGGTGAGATGGGTGAGAGCTAGGTCTTTGTAGAAGTCTTAGTCCTTTGGTCAGGCTTATTTCAGAGAAGGTGAGGATTTAACAACTAATGTTTTAGGGAAGGAATGGAAATTCAACTCCATTGCACTTTTTGCTACTCTTCAGCTGCTGCTTTTGCTTGTGGGATGGAGCCGGGTGAAATCCCAGCTTCCCCAGCCATAGTCAAAGCTTTTCCATTAACTCCTGTAAACGTAGTTTTTCGCTGCTGGATTTTGGTGGCTTTTGTTATGGATATATGAAACACAGTATTATAACACTTTCCGACTTTGATAAATGTTATATGGACAAAGAAATATTTATAATTCCTAGGGGATTCTCTGTAGTCTGCATGAAAGTAAAGCAGTCTTTATTAAGTTATACACTGGGAACATCTCTCTTATCTCTGCTTAGATCCATTTCAATATATCTTCTTTTTTTTTTCGTTTTTAACAGCTCTCTTTCTTTAAGCCTACTCCAAGACGTTGTAAAATTTTTCTAGAAGCCAGAGCCTTTCCCTCTGACCATGTAAGAAATTAATATTTCACCATATTTGTATTATTAATCATATTTTTCCAAAGAATATCAGTAGCCTGATTTGAATATTTATTACCTCATCTTGTCCGAGTAACATTACAATAAAAAAATCTGTCAGAAGCTTTGGAGCTCAGCGTATTTTACAGATTGTAGCTTTATTCCTTTTGTTCAAATAAAAAAATGTTACAAGAGGAAAAGATTGAATGAGTACATTGATTTATTAGTCTTTCTTAAAGACGTTGAGCAAACTACTGGCCTAAATCAACTGAAGTTGTAAATGTTTTATTAATTCTTGTTGCTGTTTTACTTTATGAAACCAAATCAATACAAACTCACAACATTAACACTTATATATCCCCAGATAGAGATGGAAATGTTTGTTCTTAGCACTTTAGATTACTAGTTCAAACATAATTTGTCTGCTATAAAATAGGAGACAATAGCCCGTGTGTCACAGCTTAGAGCAAATTAATCTTTGGGTTTGTGGCCCACTGCTGCTTTATCACCAATGCCATAAGCTCATGGAAATTGCTAAAAAATTTGATCTCTGAGGTGTGATAAAAATGAATCAAGTTACGAACAGGTTTATTTGTAATGAAAATGGTGGCACAGATGTATAAACCTCAAATTGCCTTTATTCGAAGTAATGTTCGTATTAATCCCCCGTTTGTTCCAGGCACACTTGTACATTTGGACTCCATCTTCTTAAATTTCTGCAGCACTTCAGTAATAACCTGCGCAACTGCCATCACTTCTGTTCCTGTCATATAATTTTAAACTATTTTATGCTGTGAATTGATGATTTTTATGTTATCTCCACAGCCATTATTTTTTAACAAAATCCATGGGTAAGATTTTCAGAATAACCTGAGAGTTTAGACCTCTCCTTTCTTCCCACCTGTGCAGCAAATCGAAGACATGAGAATAACATGGGACTGCATGTATGTGGTGGCCAAACCTCCTTTATGTTGACAGCAGTGTCCATGTGACAGCCTGGGAGTTAACATGTGCCACCAAGCAAAGTAGATACCCAGGGTCCCTAGAGAGGCAACGTTCAGTCTTCTCCTTGGCTGTCATCAACGCAGGCTTTGCTTGCTGGCAGGAGGTAAAACACATCCTCCACCACATTTCCACCCTCGTTCTGCTCTGTGAACTTGTCCTGTAGGATTTAGGCTTTGACTTTATCCTTGCTGTCTGATGATGTGAATTAAATTCTGATCTTTAAAGGAAAGGAAATCTAGAAAGTTTTTAATGGAATGATATTAGGCTTTAAAGTGTTAATTTAATGAAAAGCAGACATCTGAATCCCCTTTCTGAAGTTCTGATGTGTTTTTGTTTTAGTTGTTTTTATCGTGTAATTGTGCTAATGTTCTCTGCATGGAAATCTCTTCCAGTACGCTATTGAGTCCCAACTTCGACTTCACGGGCTTGACGTGGAGAAGTGCATGCTCATGATCCAGCCACGGGAGGTGGGTGAGAAATGCGTCAGTTCTGCTTGATAGCTGGCAAAGGCGGAAGATATTTCATATGAGAGGAGCATGCATTATCAAATACTCTTGTGTCTGCCTGCAGAAGTTGTAATCTGTTTGTTAATACTTTTAGGTAAAATTTATGAATTGGATATTCTGTTTCTGTGGTTTGTTTTTTTAATTTATTTTTATTTTAATTAGAGACCATTTTATAATTGTCTGGTTCAACTATTGCACTTGCATTAACAAAAAAAAATGAAATTATATATAATTTTACCCATTTTTTCCTGTGTGCAAAACCTGAGAGCATCTTTAGAGAGCTTCAAAACGTCGTAGATCATTGAGAAACCCCACCGTCCTTTTAATGTCCTTAAAGGTAAAAGCTTGCCGTAACACAAACAACTCTGTGTCCGCATCAGCACAGACGAAGGGAAAGGTCTGCTCTGAGCAATATGCAATTCAGATTAATTTGAAAGCCTGCCTTTCTTCGCTGTTGTGGTATTAAGAACTTTGCCACCTAACTGTAAACTGATGGTGACCTTTTGCTTCTGAGATCTGAGTCATCTTGTGAGTAAAGAGCCCGCTCCTGAACGCTTGATAGATTTGCAAAGATTGTTGAGATAATAACAGCTACTTGCAATGCAACAATCTTGCCCAAGCTCTTTTTGGTAACAAGTCCAATTTAATTCTAGGTTTTCACTGCCTAATTGATCCCTAGGTGGTGGTATGTTTTACATGACCCCTGGCTAGGAAGATGGGAGGAGGATGAGGCAGTAATTTTCCTATAAAGAATTAAGAATGAGGGTTGTGTGGTTTGGGGTTTTTTTTTTGTTTGTTTGTTATTGAAATTCCTCTATATTTAATGACCCCAGGTTTGGGGATTTTTGTACTTTTGATGATGTGGGACTTATTGTTTTTTGAAATATAATAACTTCCTATGGGGTACAAAGTTTATCAGAAAAGTAGAGAGTGTAGCTGATAGACAACTTTCAAGTCTTGTGCGTCTCACTAGTTTCAGATGCCACATAAAAAGCATTATATAAGATGTTTGCACCAGGATTTTTTTTTAGTGTAAATTAAAACTGTCTGAAATATTATAGAGTATGAAGCATGCTAGAGTATGAAGTGGATAGACTTTTTATAACTGAAACCTTCAAGATAAATTGGGTAATTTTTTTCTTTTTGGAAGTAACTTACTCATAGGCTAATTCATAGCGCTACCTTTGTGTATCATTACATGCTAAGGACTTGCTTTTGATCTCCTTATGCAAGCAGCCCAGCTCACTGTAAAATATAGATTATGAAATAAGAAATGACAGTTTCATTACTGCCAGAGTTGATGTAAAATGTGCATTTTAACTTTGTTTTAGGGGGAGGAGACCTTGAGGACTGAAGATATCCTTGCTGTAATTGAGAAGGAAGGGGACTCCATCGCTGTCATTCTGTTCAGTGGGGTGCAGTACTACACGGGACAGTTGTTTGACATCCCGAGAATAACAAAGGCTGGCCAAGAAAAGGTAGGATTCCTCCAGACACGTCCTTTTAACACTGATTTTTAGATCAGTTTTCTTTGTGAAATTTTTTTTTTTTTGATGTTTTGTGGAAGAGAATGGAGCACACGTGGAAATCTGTGGGGCTCTAATGAAAAGTAAAAGCACTCCGTGCCCAGTTCTTTTGGGGATGTGTGCTGCATGAAGAAATAGCCTTGTGAGAACAATCTTGCAGGTGTGACTTAAAGTACACAGAGAAGATAATTCAGAACTATTAACTTCTGTAGGGCTTTTCTTGAAGGATAGAATTTCAAGAGATTCAGTGGAGAAGGAGGAGGAGGTAATCACAGCTCTAATCTCTCTTTAAAAGTTTATTTTTAGATTTTTGCTTTTTTTGGGCAGATTTTCGTGGTTTTCCTCCTTTCCCACAATTTTTGCCCCCAAGCAAGCAGAGACGTGAGCTCCCCATGGAGTCAGCAGTGTTCAGACTCAGCTGATTGTTTTTTTGGAGACAGGCACAACACGGAGCACATGAACATCACCAGAGGGCTGTATTTTAGTGATGACTCAGCCTTCAGAGCTTGCAGCCAGTGCACTCTGTAGACATAGCTGTAAAAATTCTTTAACATCTCAATTGCCTCAGAAATCCTAGAGAAAATAGTTCTTAATTAAGTTGTTTGTTTTTTTTTTTTTTTTTTCTCAACAGGAGGTCACCAGATTTTTCTATAGGGGCAATCTTTCACTGGATGTACTTTAAAAGATTAAACCATTCAAGAAAAAACTTATTTAGTATCACTGGATTTTGGCAAACCAGTTAACTATTTAGATTTGTTGTTTTAACTCTCTGGAGCCTCACAAGAGGCTATGGATCTTCTGTTGCTGTAGGTTTGGCAGTGGAAATTTTTCTGGAGGTCAGGGAGTAAGTTATGCTGCTGGAAAGTGATCGTAAAGTCTCCCCTGGGAGAGCACAGCAGGTGCGAGAGTGAGAGTAGGGCCCATGGGATAGAAAAAGGGAATGTTCTCAGAGAGCAGCACCTGGCGACAAAATTAGTCCTGAACACAGCACGAAACAAGACCGATTCCTGACAGGGATGTAGAGAGCCAAGTGAAAAAAAGAAATGGAAGGAGTCAGCTGCAGGGGGAAATGGGTCTGTGTGTTAGCTCTAGAAGCAACACCCTCATGGTGTTTTCCCTGAGGCTCGTCCAGTACTTTGCTGACCACAAATAATCCAAAGGCAATGCTGAAATGTTTGAAAGGCAGGTTATTCATAGGAGGGTGCCACCCGCTGCTCTGTTCACTCTCACTCCTGGTGGCAGCAAAGCTTTCGCTCAGCTGCCGGCACCTACGTGCCTGTAGTGCTTCTTCCCCGAAATCCGCTCTGCGGTGCGTCTGAGAGGTGTCTGCGAGAGAAATCTTTGTTCTCTACTGTAAATATGAGCAACCTGGGGAAAGCCTAGCACTTTACTGCCTCTCTAAAGATGCTCTCTGGGCTGTGGGACATGTGCTTGGATGAGTGGAAGTGATGCAGTTTCACTGGAAGCTATAAACTACCCCCAAGTGGCTGAGAACCTGTGTTCTGGGGAAGAAGAGTCAGTGATAGATCATTACAAAGTGGATTTGATGTTTGTATTATTTAAGATAACCAGGACTTGGGGAAGAGAGCTTAAAATCTCTATAAGGCAGTGCAAATAATAATATTAACTCAGGGGGATGTGCTGCCACATGGGTATGCACAAAAAACGTTGCATACTTCATACAGAGACTGTATGGTATTACTGAAGTGGAGAGAAATTCCTGACAGCAGTTCAGCAGGCACGGATAGATGTCAAAGACCTTTTTCTACTTGTATGCCTGTTAGAAATGTCGTAATGCAGAGTGGCTCTCTTTTTCCGGAAATTTTTCAAAAGGGCGGAAAAGAAGAAATTAATTACCAGCTTCTTTGTGGTGAGAGCGGGTAGGACTGGGATCCAGGTAGATTCATGACCTAAAATACCATTAGTGTATTAAAAAAGAAAAATTAATTCAACCTGAAGAACTGCTTGAGTACCCATATGGCTTGACATGAGTGCCCATAAGGCTTGACCCATAAGGCCTGAGCCAGCCCTGTTTTCATTTCCTTACTGTCAGATACACTCAGCTCCATGTCCTTATGGATTCTGCCCCCCAGATTAAGAGATGTTCATACGTTTATACAAACCCACTGTGTAACGTACTGTTACACCACAATTAAACATCTCCATATGGCAAATATTTACTTGAACAGCTACAAAATCAGCCATTCATGAAGAATTTGCTCTCTTAATATTGGTAAGAGGTATTCCTCTATCCTGCTGCTTCTCTTCAGGGCTTCTGGTTCCCAAAAAGCCAAAAATGTTCTGTCTTCAAAAGCAATTGGCTCCTCTCCTCTCTTCCCAGGTCAGAGCTGATGTTGGGCTAGAGGAGAACAAAGAAACCAACAGGTGAACCAGAGTCATTAGCATCTATGTAACGTGCATGGGCTTCATTTCTGTTTGGTGGCACCCAACCAGTCCCTGTCCCCATGCTGACAAGCTTTCAGGACAGTCAGCTTGTGGACTTAGATCATACCGACTTCAAGAGCTTCTGGACCTGATGAAACCACTAATGGTTAGAATAATGGTTTTATACATAACATGTCACAGAAAGGCTGGAAGTCCTTTAAAATGTATATCAAAGGAGAATAAGCCCAAGAAGTCACATTCATAGCAAAAAATGGAAGGCTGCCCTTCCTGGTGATGAAGGGTGGTGAATGACCCCATGTCGTGAAGAGAAAATAAGTTGGGGAGAGCTGACAAGCAAGAAAGTCAGAAGGGGAAAATAGAACGTGAAAGTGTCATTTGAGAAGAGGAGGAAAAAAATCACTTGTCAGACAGTATAGCAGAGAGAAAAGTCCTACACAGATGGTCTTAATGATTCTTTTAATGTACAATTGAAATAAAATCCTGTAGCGTTGTGCCCTATCAGGGCTTGGCTGGAGACTTGAGCTGTCAGCTCAGGAGGTCTGGAAAATGTCCCAGGAATCTCGAGGTCAATCATTTATGAATTAAGTTACTGATTTCCTTTTACATTTTTTAAGCCAATTTCCTATGTTCTCGATGTACGTTAAGATTCCTCCCAGAGTGAAAGCTCTGCACATAGACAGCTTCATTAAGTCATTAAATATTAAATGAACTAAATTAAGCTTGAAAAATTACCTCAGGCTATTTTTCTATCTTGGGTCTCTCAGATAAATCAAAATTACTACATATTGTACAAGAGACTCATCAGCAGGCTGAAGAGGATGGAACAGTTTTCCTTGTTTCATACTTTTGCGCTTGTCCTGGAGGAAGGAGGGGGTTGATGTCGTTTTATTCTTCTACAAGGGAAGAAATGTCTGACTTTTAGGAGACTTGAGCTTTCAAATGCAATTTTCATTTCATAACTTATATTGTACTTTCCCCTGGCTCTGTGCTGTATGTAAAGTATTTTAATCTCTTGAGTCCCAGTAGGAAGAGCTTTAAGATCCTTCATCTTCCTTTCTTTTCCTGTCTTTTTTTTTTTTTTTTCTAAATGTCCCAGCTTGGCTGGTGTGAAGCTGTCATTTCTCTCCCTCTCTCCAAATGTCATTGTCCATGCTGAGCTGTTACCTGCTGGTTATCAGCAGCTACCCAGACACTTTGCAGAAATGACTTTTAGATGTTAGAATAAAACGGAAGAGGCAGGGGAGAGAGCACACCTCCTCTTCTCCTCCCGGAGCAGATGGAGAGCTCTGTTTTCCCCCTAGACTGGGGAAGCAACATTCCCACGCAGTCCTTGTTGCGTGAGGCTTGTGTGGGGAGAGCTGTTTCAGTTTGTTTTCCTTTTTCCCTGCAATCTGTGTGGCTAAACATTTGCTGTTTGTGCGACTCGAGTGCCAGACACCTCCCTGGGAAAGCAAACCAGCACCACCCATCTTGCAGATGACAACTTAAGCAAAATGGTACGAGTGGGTGTTTCCGAGACGATGCGGGAAACCTGCCAGCACTGGACTCGGATTTCCAGGCTATGCCTTGTTAGCGAGTTAAATAGCACCTAGCAGGATTTACCAACCAATTTCTATGTGTTGGGGAGCAGTCAAAGAAGTTCAGGAGTATGACCCATGGGTGGCTGAACTGTTTGAGAGCTACGAGTTGAGGTTACAGGTATGGATGTGGCTATGGAGCCTTGCTATACGAGCGTGACTGTGAAAGCATCCAACCTGCTGGTGCCCAAAGGAGTCTTGTCCTAACCCTCAACTGCTGTCTTTTCCCCATTTGTCATCTTGTGCTTGAACAGATTGTTTTGTGGAGTTTGTCGCTTACTGACAAGGAAAGGACGACTGATTTTAACACAAGACTTACCATAGATTTAATTTTCTCATGCACTTTTTTAAAAAAATTAAAAACTACTGTCTTTTTGGTTGTTTTAATTTTGTTAATACACTGCCAGACACATTCATTCTGCAAGACTCAGCATATCATGCTATTCCTGGTTTCCACTGCAACCAGTGAATCTCTCACAGCTGTTTTTCAAAAAAGTTTGTGCGCGACATATGAATAAAGGGATATCTATAAATGTTCAAATCCAGTCAACTGAAGTTTGGAAGTTAATGCCTTAAAACCCTGTGAAAACCTTCTCATTCAATACAGATTGGCTTTAGTTTGCTGGAGCTTATTCCTCTGAACCAAAGCCATTTTATCTCGGAATGAGAGCGTTCCCATGGGCATTCAGTGTGCTTCAGCTTCGCCATCTCAGTTGATTTGTCTTAATGCACTCCTGCGCATCCCTGTGAAGACAAACCACCAAGGGCTTGAAGGCTGGACTAGTTATTGGAACTTTGGTTCTGTTTAAGAGCAAATGTTTAGATCATGCAAATGCTAAGGCAGTGGGCTTTCTTCCCATCATTCTGGAGCAACTTCTCGAGCTGATAACTTCACCAGCTCCTCCATTAGAATTAGTATGTCACATCTTCTTAAAATGCTGCTTCATTCAAATTGTTATCTAGTTTATACAGGAGATTAAATACACCAAAGTACTGTTTAAATAATTTAGCTAAGGCTCCCTTTGTGCAAAAAACAGCAAGAGATCCTTAAAAAAAATCCTTTGCTTTATTACTGGATGTTGATTTTTCTGCAGCCTGTGTTCTCACTCTTATTCCTACCATGCTGCTTGCAAACAGGCCATTTGTGTTTTAAAAGCAAAATGCAAAATAACATTTAATTTGTAGTCCGGGCACAAAATACAGTTTTATATCTCTGCGCTTAAACAAATAGCAAAGCTTGGAAGAACTTTTTAGTTTAAAAATACTGCCATCCAGTGGTTATGCTGTGTGTGAAACTGCTGCTTTTTGATCCATACATCTGTGGTCCTCATATGCTTTTTTTTTTTTTTTTCTTCCCAGTGCCCTATACAAGTTGTGGTTATGAAAAATACAACACTTTTCATATTTTAGGGACAATTACAAGAGTCCATAAAGATCACTGTGTTGCACAGGATGCTATCTCACCCGTCTGGATTCCCAAAGAGCAAGATCCTCATAGTTTAACTCAAGTATAAGTACACAGTGGAACACAATTGTTCATGAGTGACTGGCATCATTATGTACATTATTTTTTTTCTGCCTAGGACTTGTCATGTGATACAATAGTTTGAAATATTGTGTTTGTTCTGAATACTTATTTCAAGTGATTCCACTTTACTGCATCAGAAAAAACTTACAAATCTAAACCATATCCAAGCATCCTTGAAGACAAGTCCACAAAACAACTCATGATTTCTGTATGTGTCTATGGTATAGAAAACTTGTTTCTAATAATAAGTCAAAGCATATGGGACTTAGTAGCATACAGAGAACAAGCCCATATAGCTCTAAATATCCTTCTTTTTCAAAATAATTTTCTAATTATCATTATCTTGTTAAGTATTACATTAAATGTGTGTTTCCTGCAGGGTTGCTTTGTTGGATTTGACCTGGCTCATGCTGTTGGGAACGTAGAACTTCATTTGCATGACTGGGGAGTAGATTTTGCTTGCTGGTGCTCTTACAAGGTAAAAATAGATTCGTTGTTTGAGACTAATTTCCATAATGTCGGTTATATGATGGGTCAGCAAACAGGTTAGATGAATAAGAACCGTACCTGAACTGTTGATCAAGACTTGGCTGAGTCTTTGAACCAGCCACAGTGCAGAGATGGACCCTGACTTTAGTGGTGGCTTTATTAAGAGAGGTTCCAAAAGCTAGTAGTGGCAATGACCTGCAAGGTCTGGTGGATGTGAGATGGATGTTAGTGGTGGTTAAACATGTGCTCTGAAGCACACTCCACTCTGCGGTCACAGCATCAGCAGCTCTTATTTCCCACACTAAAAAGGTCTTGTGGCTGTAGGATTTTCCTGGTGGACCCTAACTAAGAGAATATTCTTGCCTAAAGGTGAATAATTTCAGTCCGTAGAACAAGCTGCCTTTATTGCATTTGACTTCTCTCAAGATTAAGAATCGACAGATACAGTCAGATGAACGGTTTGATGACTTTGCTATATGTATTATGAATCTGTTTCAGTCATACCTCAGTTTTCTAGCCTTTTGTCTGTTAGACTTCAAATGTCGTACATAAGCCAAGAAAGATATTTTTAGAACTACTCTGAAAAAATAGATCTGCTTTTACCTACGTCAGCACTTTGAGATAAATGCTAAGATGTCCAGGTAAAAACCACTAGAAATGTTAAACTTGGTCTGTCTTACAGAGCGGGATGAGGGAAGGAAAGCTATGCTTTACAGATAATGAGCATGAAATGTGTATATGTTAATTTACTCTTTGCAGTATTTAAATTCTGGAGCAGGAGGCCTTGCCGCTGCCTACATTCATGAGAAGCATTCCCGGAGTATCAAACCAGCGTAAGTACATTTCTATACCCAAATAAAAGGTGCTGTGAAGTCTAAATGGGAACATATCTTCCCTTTGAGTTGAAATGTGAAAGTAAAGAAGTGTATAGCTTCCCAGTCATAGACTATGGACATGTATCTATGTATGTATAGATGCAGAAGAAATTCCCTGCTTCAAAAAAAGCCTTGTTGGGCTAATATTGTTACTGACTTACTGGGTCAATGGAAAAGGTAGTACAGGTTTAGATAATTTGGTTGTCTGATTTTTTTTTTTTTTTTTTACCTCAGATGGGTTATTTTATGTTAATTGTAGTAAATTTTGAAATTGCTAAGGTACACGGTCGCATCTTAAATACAATTCCTCCTTGGAGTCTGCTATCAGTTCTAAACTAAATATAATCATAAAAGAGAATGCTTATAACATTAAAAGCAAGCAACCTAAATCATGCCTATGAGACTGTTTAATGTAAAGAGAATATTTAACATCTTCCTTTAAAAATGGATTTTTAAAAAATCATTGAAGTCCTTGGTTGGTGAACAAAATCAAAGACAGTTTCAGCTCTGTGTCTAATAGCTCTTTAGTACTAGCATGTTTTCATTAAAATTATATCCACTGGTAAAACTAGGAAGCGTTACACGGAGATCTGTGTTTTCAGACTGTATAATCCAGGAAAAGATGTGCTATCGACTGAGGTTAGATGCATTAAAAAAAAATACCTGTTATTTAAAATGTTGTATGACTGTATTCTATGTATGTATATTGAGAACAGTAGGTTTAACACTTTTAATGCACCGACAAATGTAAACACTTCTTTTGGGGTGTAATGCTTGAAGAAATTGCTGGCACTTTTATTCTAGCTTGAAGAAGGAAAACTAAATCAGGTTTCAGAGAGAAATAATGTTATAATAAGTAGCTTCGCTGCACTACGTGCTGGATTCAGACTGTCTAGACTCCCAGGAGATAACAAAATAACACTGATAAGCTCTTCTCAGTCACCCATAGCAGAAAACTCATTAGGATGACATATGACCTGTTGTGAGCTGATTTGATCCTCACATGTGAACACTGGCAAAATATTCCCAATATCTGGATATTTCCTCTGGAAAGTTTTTGTTTTTTGGTTTGTGCTTTGGTTTTTTGTTTGTTTGTTTTTTCCTGCTTCCCTGTTAGCCAGATGCAGATGTTGCTCCGATGGCCAAACCTCTGGGCTCTGGCTGTGGGGAGCTGGGAAGATGCTGAGTAGCGAAAAAATCTGGGCCAGCTAGAAATCACAGAACAGCAATAGGAGAAATGAATAAAATCTCAAGGACTTTGAGTCTGTTTTCCTCCTTGATGAAATTTTGAAACTTCTGTAAGGGTACTAGCTTGGTATTGCAGGTAAAAGCTTAAATTAGTTTTTCCTGAACCAGCTTCTTCATACATAGTCATTAACTTGTGTACTGAATGTCTTAAATACAATTGCTTATATGAAATAGGCTTTTTCAGCCTGGGGCTCAATTAAGGATATAATTCCAAACTTCCTGCATAGACCCTTTGCATTATTTAGTCACAGTTATTTCATATTTCCTGAGATTTGATAATCGCTCATCAAATTGTTTGTAGTTAATGTGCCCTGGTTGCATTACCTTTCTTTCTTTTCCGCATCAACCAGCCATTTCAGGTCTCCAAATAAGGCAGTGAGACAAAGGAGAATTTGTCTATGTCAAAGTATTCAATTTTATAGCTGATTTAAATGCAGAGCAATTTGCTGTATGTTGTACAATCAAATAGAGTGGAATTTAACTGCTCGGGAAGTTGCAGGTTTTATGTTGTATCTAAAAAGTCCTTTGGCTGTCATCTGAATCAAGGATGACACCCAGTGGCCAGACAAATTCGTCCAAAAACAGAAGCACCAAACAGTTTTTGTTTCTTCACATCTCAGCCCATACCTAAGCGGGTAATTATGTTCCAGCCCAGCTGATATCCTTTTGTCGTTTAAACTGACATTGCTTTTAACTCATGGCCAATATTCTGCAAGTCACTTTACCCACCCATATAGATTTCTTTAATTTGTCTCATCCTTCATACCTTCTGACTAGATAGTTATTTTTATATTGAAATAATGTATTGTATTTTATTATAAAAATGTGTGTTCTGACCATAATTCAGAGAGGCAGAACCGGAATGTTTGCCAAGCACTTTTGCCTGGTACTGACTGAGGCTGGTGCAAAAAGGATGTAGGTACTTATTGAAAATTAAAAAGCTCGATCCAAAATTTTAATCTTAAACCCCCAAGCCCAGCTACTGCCCATCATCAAAGGCATTTAGGCATTTTACTTTAACTTTCCTCAGTTTCATGAGTATGCTTTTGTCCATGCCACCAGCATTGCTGACAAGAGCAATGTAAATGAAATGTAAGAGTAAAGTAAGTAGGAGCTGTCATTGCAGCTGAGCTCAGTTTTAGAAACTGGGTTTCCTCCAGCTGCTCCCCAGTTGTGTTGCTCCATCCAGAGCCTGCACCTTGGACAGCAAAATTCTTATTTGCTGGTGCTTTTTTTTGAAATGGAACTTGAGAAAGAGTTATTAATTTATTTAACAGCCTTGCTGCCAGTAGCTGGGGCCATGCTGAAACTGATTTCTGCTGGAAGTCTGCACAGTGAGGTTGTAGCTGACAAACTGTAAACCTACACAACCCAAACCTGGTGTTTATTCATAGAATCACAGAATGGTTTGGGTTGGAAGGGACCTCAAAGATCATGTTCCAACCCCCTGCCATGGGCAGGGACACCTCCCACTAGCCCAGGTTGCCCAAAGCCTCATCCAGCCTGGCCTTGAACCCCTCCAGGGATGGGGCATCCACAGCTGCTCTGGGCAACCTGGGCCACTGCCTCACCACCCACACAGGAAAACATTTCCTCACATCCCAGTAGACAAAAGGCAATACCAATCCCACTCCTTTATGGATATGCAAGCTTCCCACAAGATTTTTCAAAGTTGGTAATTCTCTGAGTTGGCAAAGGGTTGATGCCCAAGAGCAAGATTTGATCCTTGGGGCAGATGGCTGGCAGATGGAGGCTAAGGACAATACAAACTTTTATGTCCCCTTCTTGTGTTGTGTCACTGCAAACACCATCCTGCACTCCCTGGCTTAGCTAAGGATAATTCTCTAATTCACTACAAGGGCCATGGGTCTAAAAGTTACATGTAACCACCCTAATTAACATCCATACCTGAATATGTTGGGTAGTCCTTTGCTAGTCCCCTATCTTTCTTCGTAGAGCAGTAAAACTGACTCCATCTGACATATACGGGTCCAATATATCCCTATTCTCTCATGATCTCACCTCCTTTGAAGTATCTTTTTAATACTCAAATAGCTTTTTTAATACCTGCTCTATATATCACAATGCAATATATTCTTGGTTAATTGTGCCAGAGTGATTTCTCTAGGGGAACGTTTAAAATAATAATAATAATAATAAAAGACCTGGACAGGGCAGAGCTATGAAACACTGCTGAAACTGTTTGGTCAGTGCAAGCTGATCCTGTGCCACCATAAATGCAGTTTTATGTTGAGGATGGGAGGTTTCCAAGACACAGCACTAAGGTGACCTACTAACGCTGAAATTCTCCTTGAGGAGCTTTTTGATCACCAGAAAAGTTTTGGGATCCCTGCTGTCAGCTGGCATAAGGGACAGGAGGGGATGAACTTGCAGAGTCCTGAGATAGGAGAAGAAAAACGAGTCCTAGTCAAATCCCTGTAAGAAAAAGTAAGGTGGCATTTAAAAAGATGAAAGGGAAATAAATGCATGTAAAGCAGCCGGGAGAATAATAATAAGCCTTGACAGAGGATTAAATGAAAATTGTACACAGTCTTGTGTTTAAAATGAAAGGATTTATCAAGACTTAACTTTAGCACAGAATTAGAAGCAGGTAGAGTATAAAAAGAAAAAGTTTGTGTGATGTGAAGAAATGCTGTCTGTGCAGGAAGGAGCTGATGTCCAAGGACCATGTCAGCTTTTACTGTAGGATAAAAAAAAAACTATCAAAGAACAAGAAACAAAAAGGTAACTACTTCATACTAGCTTTGAGAAACAAAAGGTATCTTCAGAAAGTTTCCTCATAGAGGGAGGTAGGATATCAACCCTTTCTCTTAGATCGTTTTCCTTTTTGGTGTCTTAATTCCAGTGAAAATGCCAGAGCACAAATGGCTTCTTGCTACTCCGTTAGAGAGACCTGTGCAGGTTTTTTTTTTTTTTTGTATGTGAACTTTTACCCTGGCACAAGATAAACAAAAATATGCTATTCTAGCTCCATACATTGCCCCTTTCCCATTTTTCTGAGGTGCTCTGGGTCCCCACCCCACTCCAGTGCAGCCCTTCTCTGCCCAGTAACTTTGTTTTGCAAGAGGTTGCTCAACCCCTTCCAGGGCTGGTAGCTCCACCTGAGTTTTTCTTTAGTTATTTTCTTGATCTATGAGGAGATACCACATTATTCCTTTTTGAATTAGAGACCACGTAATCCCCAAACCAAATAGATGAAAATTCTATGAAATTGCTGAAAATATTGTTGCTTAGGAATGATGTGAGTCGGGAGCAAAAGACAGTAACGAAAAAATTGAGAAAGGTGGTTTTTTTTATATCTACTGTATCGGAAAGAACTAAAGCTGTTCTTGTTTAAAATGCTTTTAGGAATAATAGTCTAAGATTGTGTCTACATGGAACGAAACAAGGTGGAAAGTCATCAGTCACAGATGGAAGTGCGCACTCTGTTTGCAGGAGGGTTTGTCCCTGGTCCTAGTGGACTCAAACTGTGGATTAATGTACGGATAAACTATTTGTGGGGAGCAACATGTGTCCCCCGAGTGCATAAAGTATCCCGTATGAAGGTAGAAACGAAATGTTTCTTGGCCAAGGATATGAGAGCAGTTCAGCTCCTTGAGCTAATTTAGAAACCAAAAGTTAAAATCTCCCTTGGGAAGAGACTGTTTAGGAATAAAGGCATCGGCTAATTAGGCTTAATTGCATTGTCT